AAACATCTCAATGTTCTTTGGTTGGTGTCACAAAACGACTCAATGTTCTTTTGTTGGTATCACATAACGACTTAAAGCTATTTGCTTGGTGTCACAATGTTCTTTTGTTGGTATCACAAAACGACGCAATGTTCTTTTGTTGGTGTCACAAAACGACGCAATGTTCTTTTGTTGGTGTCACAAAACATCTCAATGTTCTTTTGTTGGTATCACAAAACGACGCAATGTTCTTTTGTTGGTGTCACAAAACGACGCAATGTTCTTTTGTTGGTATCACAAAACGACGCAATGTTCTTTTGTTGGTGTCACAAAACGACGCAATGTTCTTTTGTTGGTGTCACAAAACATCTCAATGTTCTTTGGTTGGTGTCACAAAACATCTCAATGTTCTTTGGTTGGTGTCACAAAACGACTCAATGTTCTTTGGTTGGTGTCACAAAACTACTCAATGTTCTTTGGTTGGTGTCACAAAACTACTCAATGTTCTTTGGTTGGTGTCACAAAACATCTCAATGTTCTTTGGTTGGTGTCACAAAACGACTCAATGTTCTTTGGTTGGTGTCACAAAACATCTCAATGTTCTTTGGTTGGTGTCACAAAACGACTCAATGTTCTTTGGTTGGTGTCACAAAACTACTCAATGTTCTTTGGTTGGTGTCACAAAACGACTGAATGTTCTTTGGTTGGTGTCACAAAACGACTCAATGTTTTTTGGTTGGTGTCACAAAACATCTCAATGTTTTTTGGTTGGTGTCACAAAACGACTCAATGTTCTTTGGTTGGTGTCACAAAACTACTCAATGTTCTTTGGTTGGTGTCACAAAACATCTCAATGTTCTTTGGTTGGTGTCACAAAACATCTCAATGTTCTTTGGTTGGTGTCACAAAACGACTCAATGTTTTTTGGTTGGTGTCAAAAAACGACTGAATGTTCTTTGGTTGGTGTCACAAAACGACTGAATGTTCTTTGGTTGGTGTCACAAAACTACTCAATGTTTTTTGGTTGGTGTCACAAAACATCTCAATGTTTTTTGGTTGGTGTCAAAAAACGACTGAATGTTCTTTGGTTGGTGTCACAAAACATCTCAATGTTCTTTGGTTGGTGTCACAAAACGACTCAATGTTCTTTGGTTGGTGTCACAAAACATCTCAATGTTCTTTGGTTGGTGTCACAAAACGACTCAATGTTCTTTGGTTGGTGTCACAAAACTACTCAATGTTCTTTGGTTGGTGTCACAAAACGACTGAATGTTCTTTGGTTGGTGTCACAAAACGACTCAATGTTTTTTGGTTGGTGTCAAAAAACGACTGAATGTTCTTTGGTTGGTGTCACAAAACGACTGAATGTTCTTTGGTTGGTGTCACAAAACTACTCAATGTTCTTCAGTTGGTGTCACAAAACTACTCAATGTTCTTTGGTTGGTGTCACAAAACTACTCAATGTTCTTTGGTTGGTGTCACAAAACTTCTCAATGTTCTTTGGTTGGTGTCACAAAACTACTCAATGTTCTTTGGTTGGTGTCACAAAACGACTCAATGTTCTTTGGTTGGTGTCACAAAACGACTCAATGTTCTTTGGTTGGTGTCACAAAACGACTCAATGTTCTTTTGTTGGTATCACATAACGATTTAAAGCTATTTGCTTGGTGTCACAAAACTACTCAATATTCTTTGGTTGGTGTCACAAAACGACTCAATATTCTTTGGTTGGTGTCACAAAACGCCTCAATGTTCTTTGGTTGGTGTCACAAAACATCTCAATGTTCTTCGGTTGGTGTCATAAAACGCCTCAATGTTCTTTGGTTGGTGTCACAAAACGACTCAATGTTCTTTGCTTGGTGTCACAAAACATCTCAATATTCTTTGGTTGGTGTCACATAACGATTTAAAGCTATTTGCTTGGTGTCACAAAACGACTCAATGTTCTTTTGTTGGTATCACATAACGATTTAAAGCTATTTGCTTGGTGTCACAAAACATCTCAATGTTCTTTGCTTGGTGTCACAAAACATCTCAATGTTCTTTGGTTGGTGTCACAAAACATCTCAATGTTCTTTTGTTGGTATCACATAACGATTTAAAGCTATTTGCTTGGTGTCACAAAACATCTCAATGTTCTTTGGTTGGTGTCACAAAACGCCTCAATGTTCTTTGGTTGGTGTCACAAAACGACTCAATGTTCTTACTGTTATTAGTGTACCTGGTGGTTCTATGTTGTTTACCTTGTTCTCATCTTGGAACGTTAGATCACTTTCTTGAACTGACCAAGTTTTATATGGCGAGTGTCGTCTGTGAAGCAGAAATCGCTTACACTTTAGGAACTTATGGTTTTATACTCCTTGTACGTTTAAAAGTGTCTCCGCCTAAATCTCTCTTTTTCATAGTTTCCCTAATTTATCGAATTTGTGTTTGAATGATTACATGTCTAGATGTTCTACAGTTGGTATCACAAAAAGGTAAATAGAAGTCAAACTGTGAAGGTTGCAGAGAGGTCACAATTTCTATGTTGGTCACAATTTCAATGTTGTAGAGAGGTCACAATTTCTATAATGAAGAGATATCCCCATTTTTATGTTGGTCACAATTTCAATGTTGGTCACATTACCAATGTTGTAGAGAGGTCACAATACCAATGTTGTAGAGAGGTCACAATACCAATGTTGTAGAAAGGTCACAATTTCTATGATGTTGAGAGGTCAAAATTTCAATGTTGGTCACAATATCAATGGTTTAGAGAGGTCACAATTGATATGATGAAGAGAGGTCACAATATCAATGGTTTAGAGAGGTCACAATACCAATGTTGTAGAGAGGTCACAATTTCTATGTTGGTCTCAATTTCTATGATGTAGAGAGGTCACAATACCAATGTTGTAGAGAGGTCACAATACCAATGTTGAGAGGTCACAATATCAATTTCTATGATGTAGAGAGGTCACAATACCAATGTTGTAGAGAGGTCACAATTTCTATGATGTTTAGAGGTCACAATTTCTATGTTGGTCACAATATCAATGGTTTAGAGAGGTCACAATACCAATGTTGTAGAGAGGTCACAATTTCTATGTTGGTCTCAATTTCTATGATGTAGAGAGGTCACAATACCAATGTTGTAGAGAGGTCACAATACCAATGTTGTAGAGAGGTCACAATTTCTATGTTGGTCACAATATCAATGGTTTAGAGAGGTCACAATATCAATGGTTTAGAGAGGTCACAATACCAATGTTGTAGAGAGGTCACAATTTCTATGTTGGTCTCAATTTCTATGATGTAGAGAGGTCACAATACCAATGTTGTAGAGAGGTCACAATTTCTATGTTGGTCACAATATCAATGGTTTAGAGAGGTCACAATATCAATGGTTTAGAGAGGTCACAATATCAATGGTTTAGAGAGGTCACAATATCAATGGTTTAGAGAGGTCACAATACAATATCAATGTTTAGAGAGGTCACAATATCAAATTTCACAATATGATGTAGAGAGGTCACAATTTCTATGTTGGTCTCAATTTCTATGATGTAGAGAGGTCACAATACCAATGTTGTAGAGAGGTCACAATACCAATGTTGTAGAGAGGTCACAATTTCTATGTTGGTCTCAATTTCTATGATGTAGAGAGGTCACAATACCAATGTTGTAGAGAGGTCACAATTTCTATGATGTTGAGAGGTCACAATTTCAATGTTGGTCACAATATCAATGGTTTAGAGAGGTCACAATTGATATGATGAAGAGAGGTCACAATTTATATGATGAAGAGAGGTCACAATTTCTATTATTTAATACACTACATGTCTTGTACCTGTGTAGTGCATCCATGCATGAAATAGTTGTGAAGATATGCTCTCTAAATATGTAAAATTGTTGTCAAATGTCAAAGAGATCTCTGTTACCTGATTTTTGCAAATGACTGAAATCAAGCTTAACCATGGTATACCTTCATATTGATGTATATGCCGTGAAAGGGTAAATTCATATAGATTTCAGAACTGAAAGGTTGAAGTTGAAACAGGGTTACTCTGAACCAATCATGGAAAACAGTGAAGAAAAATTGTCTTCATGATTTCATTTCAAAACCTTTTTTTCAGTAACATGCTAGAACATTTACATGTGTAGACTGTTTGTACCTATCAGTTTATCTACAAAGATGGATTTTAATCAATTTCCTCCCTTGAGCTAAATCTCTTTGCTACCTATTGTAATGTAAAGGATTGTATAACCCTCAACATTTACCAATACTTTGCATATGTGATTTTTGTTTTCATTTAACTCAGCTGTGTGTTGATTTTAAAATTGTTAAAAAGAATATGAACTTGAGTGTAATGAAATGAGATTTTAATCAACTACACTGAGAAAGTATTTACACGAGGTTGATTCACATTTCTATGTAATGTATAATAATTCATTTTCTTCAGAGGTTTGTTTCCTTGGTTTTGTGGGTACTATTAAAAAAATCATACATCCATATGATGCTGAAACTAATATCTATCGAGCAATATTTACTCACAAAATCAAATGTCTATGAAATTGAGATTTTTTGACAAAACTATGAAAATTGAGCCCTCCCCCAAAAATATGATTTCACAGTAACTCACATACTTTCCATTAGTGAGTAACTGGGGATTTCACCAAGATCACTAATATTATTCTATTTCATTAGGAATCTTACACTGCATTTATCCAACTATCAAAAATAATTTGCGACAATATAGATACATTATCATATAATGTGCAAATTCATCAAACCAAACAGCTTATCCCAAAATCATATACAGAAGTGATGGAAACAGAAGTGTTTGTCTTTTGCCCTGGCAAATGATTTAACATATTTTCAACATGTCTTCAATACAGCAGGATTAACAATAAATTCAGGGTGTACATTACAGAGAATTTCTTTATGACATGCATTCTTTGAAATCTTGCAACTGCTGGTGTTCTTTATTTTGAACTACAAATTGATAATCTCCTTGAAACACAATACAAAAACAAAGATATTTTATTACAACAGTTTATTTCTCTGGAATTTTACTCAAAATATGTGACAATCTCGTATTAAAATTCCCTAAATTCAAAAGAACTAAGCTCCAAGCTTGGCGACAATCACTCCTCTCACATCTTCCATGCAAACATTTAATACTGACAATTATTCCAGCCCTCTCCTGGCCAATAGGCCACGCCCATCACATACAGCCACGCCCATTGGCCACACCCATCTCTCACAGTCTCGCTCACTCTCAAACAAGCATACCATACACTATCAAGTTTTTGGTGAAATTGCCCGTGATTGTCCTTACTGTTGGAAAGTAAAATCTGTAGACATTGTAATATACAATGGCTCGATAAATTACCTTCATGTCAAAAAAGGTGTAAAATTGCAGGTTTAAAATCAGAAATTTGTATAAAACATCAGGTCTTTTCTGCAAGAAAAAAAATAAAGTGGAAAGGAAACAGGTTAAAAAGCATTGGGAACTAAAATCATAGTATTAAAATCCACAAAAAAAAAAACAAAAAAAAAAACCAGCTTGTTTAAAAGAAAACTTACAACTTAAACTTGTTTTTTTGCACCAATAGCACTTGGAAAACTATCATGTCTTTAAATGTTCTCACAAATCATTTTTTCATAACTTCAAACTAAAAAAAAAACAAAAAAAAAAAAATACTAGAAGCACTTATAAATTAATTTCTGATTAAGAATTAGAAAACATCAGCACTTGATTTTTCAAATATCATTTCATGATTTTTTGAACACTAATACTGCTTGAAACTAAAATGTATTCCATATGTCTGTTAAGAGTTTTTACATTATTTTCAAATTTACGAAAACTGTGTTGATTTCTGTAATAGATATTATCAATTTGCTGAACTTGAACTTGAATAATACAGTATACCTTTGTTATCAAGGCTCAACCAAAAAAGGAAACAATAACACGTACACCATTAATTAAAAGATAATCTTCAAACTCTCGATGTCATCCCAGCATTTCACATTACAGTCCCTTACACGATATAAAATGGCACCTGCGACAGATTTTTACGTTGCTTCAGAAAATAGTATAATAGTGTGATTTCTTTCATAAGTGATCCTGATATTATTGATAAAGACAACATAAAAAATTGTTTTTGATAATCATTTGGGGAGGATGACAACACAAAATATATTTTCATGATCACTTTGGAAGGATAATCTTCAACTAAGTACAGGTAGGATTCACTACAAATAAAAATAATTTGATCTCATAATCCTCAGTATTGTAAACGATCATGACGCCTATACAAAGTCATTACATCAAATATTATGCTTTAGAAGTTAATCCCAGCCAGTATTCCTTACCAAAAAAAGCAGGGTAAAATGCCAAGTTTGTATCATGAATAAAATCATTATTTCTAGCAACAAAGAAAATAAACCAGAAAAAAACCAGAATTAAATATATATTTCACGAAACAAAAATGTCAAAAATCACACTGATATTTTATTGCTTTAGATATACAGCAATTCAGCTTGGCTTTCAACCACATGAGGCATTACAAATCAAACAAATCAAGGTTTTCATCATACAATAAAATCCTCTGCTGTCATTTGTGCGCCATTCTCGCTCGCTAGCACGCTCTCTTGATACCAAGCACCAACACGCACATGCACCTCCCGTTCTACTATACACAATATAATGCACCAAATCCTTCTGTCCAACATGCACCATTATTACCACCATTCTTTCAAAAATGGCATTTTACAACAAAAAAAAAAAAAAAAAAATGTATGAGGTAACTTTAAAGCTCAAATCTGATTGGCCAATTTTGGTCATGTATGTATCTATATATAGTTCTTCAGCAGCAAATCACAAACTGTCCTCTACTGACCTTAAGACACTCCTGAGAATGAATTCTCAGTGACCTTGAGAAGTATCCACGACCTTGGGAATCCTTCCCTGATCCTGCTGGTCGGCATCTGACCTTGTGATTTAGCTGATAATAAACGAATGTCAGCAAGGCAAACAGAAAAATTTGCCTGGCCTGGAAAGGTTTATCTTGTATGCTGATGGGCACCGCCAATTAGTGCCGTAGATGTTTGCGTATATATGGTACGAGCTTTCTGACGATCTCCCCAGTCTTGCTTCTTCTCTACAGATCATTATATATTTAATACTGACATTGATTATTGTGATACTTCTCATAACAAATATTGTGAAATTCCTATCTCAATACTTATAAAAAAACATATATTTATAATAATAAAATGAGAAGACGCAAAACTGGGGAAACAGGATCTCAGAAAAATACATAAATCAATTGTAGATCTAGAAAAAAATTGAAATATATTTTTTTTTTAATTTATAAGTGGAATGCTTGCAAAAAAACACATCTATATTTGATCGTTACAACTGGTACGACCCTGGCAGTACGAGGTATTTCAAAGGTGTCACCACTCAATCCGACTTGCTAAAACTACACGACACTTGTGAGTCTCATAAATACTAATACTTGAACAAGTCTCACATGGCTACCTTCCTGAACAGGATAATACTATCAGCATCTTTGTGTTTTTTTCCCCAATCCCCATACAGATAACATGGAACATCTAAAAAGACTAGTATATCATAAGTTCGACCTGAGGCAAGTTGGCCCTTTACACACCCTCCATGTCCATATGACCAGCCTACTCGCCGGCTGGTCACACCAATCGCAACTGTCTGTCCATCTTCCTCCACAAGGAGACGAGACACTGACTAGCTTTTTGCTGATTTGACCAGGTATAGACCGTCATTTGGCATGTAGCGTATATTCCTTATGCTCACAATAACATTCGACAGATATTTGTCACATGCACAGCCTGGAATTACATCCCCTTCCCGGACCTGGTCCGATTCTGTCTGTTCGTCACTTTCGATTACCACAGCCAATCACCATATCACTGACATGAGTAGTTAAAAACTACCAAAATAAACACTGGCCTTAGTCCAAGTCAAACCCCAGGGCCACGCTCCAACGCACACAAGTTTGTCCTTGTTGTCTTGACAACCACAATACAACGGTGTATGGCGACAGGAAAGTCAGCCAGGCATGACGCACAAGTCTGTACACCGCGACCACACCTACCCTGCATGTATATCCTGTATATGTCCACCCATGCTTTCCATGCTGCTATGAAGAGGTGGGCTCTGTGCGGAACCCATTGACATGCCATGTGGGCTCATTCCCGGAGCCCCGTGGCCCATCATCATATGATGTGGATGTCCAGGTATTAGCATGGCCTGCGAATGAACAGGGGGACGTAACTGTGACATTTGTGAGTAGGAACTACTTCCTGTGACAGGGGGCGCTCCATACATGTCTCCACCATGCATACCCTGAACACCTAACATGTCATAGCGCTGTGAACCATCCATGTGAGGATATCCGGCCTTCATAGGGTCGTACATGTCACTGCCAGGTCGACCTTGGAGCACTGCAATTAATAACAACCATATGTTACCAACAGAAAATAATGACATCAATATTGAAAGCAATGCACAAAAGTAATGTTCAATTTCATTTCAAGGACCCCAGACTATCAAAAAATCACATCCCATGATGCAGTTACCTGTTTTTGCAGCTCTGTAGACAAAGAAATTCAAATATAATATAATGGAGAAATTCATTACCAATTCCATCTGTTATTCTTGAGAATGTTTAAAAAGCTTTACAAATAGCAGTCTGTCAATGATTCATTGTTTATTTTCAAATTGTTTGAAAATAATAAAAAGACATTTTCTATACAATACATTTGCAGTTAGCAGAATTGCAGTAAATTTTTTATCTTACACAATTGATTTCGCTATTCTTATCGTTTACTGATAGTCTCTAAAATGCACCAGCTTGTATGAATATTTGAACACTAAGACACAGTTATACTTGTCATAAAGTTTTTTTAAAATGTTTATTGAAACCTATAACCCCTTCTAATATGTATGTATCCTGTTGAATATTCAAATTAGATTTTTTGGTCTAATTCTACACACAATAAGTATTTTCCACATATATAAATACTGCTGTACTTCGACGTCGGTTAAAGAGATATTGTATTGGGTCGGAAACTGAACAATCAATAGATGTTCTTCAGATATGCAGATTGTTTTTATATGTAGCATACAACAAAACCGCTCGGCAATTAAACTTCTGCATGTTTTTACAATTTTAACGCCAAGCAAAGGAGAAAACTTACTATGGGGCCCCATGTGGGCCATGGGTTGGTTGTCGGGCCAGCCCATGCCACCATCCGGACTGTAACCATGGCTTCCAGGGGCTGCAAACAAACAGAACAGGCATTACATCCTTTGCGTTTCACAATGCAATTTAAATACTTATAGGCACATGTGTGTCCCTGAATGCATTTACTAGGTCCCGCAGGCAATATTTTCATTTTATTCGACCATCTACATACTTATATAGGTGTCTGCCTCCGCGAGTCGTGGGTAATTTGGAATGCATTTGAAACTTAAAAACTTTAAAACGGCATCAACGTATAAATGGTGTGCCAAGACAATGCCATGCAAGTATTTAGAGTTTTTCTACACATTTACAGCCTCCTGTCATGGAGAGGGGCTCTAAATATATCTCACTAAACAACCCTAACTCATCAATGTACCAATTCATGGCAGCTATTCCACGATATATCCTTTTTATGATTGCCAAACGAGGACCGCGGAGGGTCCAATCATAAACCCAAGTTTTGAACCGATTCACAAACAGAAATGAGAATATTTTGGCAAGTGTTGCCCTCTACGAGTCCCCGGCTCATAATGGGCATTCAATAAAATGCTAGTTTTTGCCCCTTAGGAGTCTGGTGTTACTGTCAGCAGATAATGAGTGTAAAAGAAATGCAATTTGTAAAAGAGTAATACCACCTAAGATACAGTCCTCATCTATTAGCTTCCTCTGGACCACTTGCTGAGAGTTAATTACGAGCGCCCGTGTAGATAAATACTAAATTGATGTTGATATATGCCAATTCAATGTTAAATAGGCTTTTTAAAACATATCATATGTACTAGGATATTTAGGTCAATCAAAAGCTGTGCTACTAAGTAAAGTACAGCCTCACATTCCCGAATCCCACTTTGCGGTGAGTGACTGGGGCGTTGATATCATCATGCGCACAGGTTAATAGCAAAGTGATTACCACGAAATTTAATATTTACCCAACTAAAATCTTAACACGAAAAGTCTCCCCTTGGCAGTAGTTACTGTGAGATTTCCCAAACGTTTTCTGACAGAGCGAGTTTGTCGGCATAACTCTTGACTTATCTCTACTGTCTATAAATATATATATATATTTCAGTCATATATTTTGTCTAAATACTTCCATGCACATGATATGAAAACAGTACAAAATACCATCTATGGAAGTCATAACATTTCACTTTCAACTCCTTCACAGAAATCCCTTGATAATCTATACCGTTATTTTCAATATGAAAGTTTGTATCTCATTACAGTACAAAACACTATACAAGGCCTAATTTTGAAATGTCACAACAGTATTTTTAAGTGAATTTGAAGGAACTTTCTCTCCAAGTTTTACACATTATTACGTGTAGCGTCAGTCTGTAGTTATGATAGGAGGAGTGTTTAAGGTACCGGCTCCCCACATTAATTACGGAGTCTGCTGGCAAATTACTCCTAACGACTCTTATATATTGATGAATTTGGCAAGAAGAACCGTAAATGAGGTTAATTTCATTAGCCATAAACTCTTCCCATCATCTTTCCTGACTTTGATGCCAATTGGGAAGAGAATTTGTCATCAATGTAACAAATACAACACAGGAAAATGACAGTACATGTGGAGTAGGCTACGAGTGTGTGGAAAACACCCACAAACATTGGCTTTATGTGAACGGGTGATATCAAAGCCTGCACGCCAAACACACCACTTCAGACTAGGTCACATGACACTCACCATCCTGATACAGGTGAGAGGTACTGTCAAACCTCGTTAATACAGGTGACGGGTATAAATACCATCAACAAAACCATAAGATTGTTTGGTTACAAACCATGCAGTGGTAGATTTTGGAAAATTGAAAAATTAAAGTAAAACTCCAAGTTATTTCCAAAAAAAATTCTAAATTCAATGTACAAAATTTTGGTAAAATTTATCTTCATGGTGAAAGGTAGCCATTGTGAAAATAACCTTTCTTGATATTTCAATTTTATAAAGTCTCACTTTGTCAAATATTTTGTTTGTATAACAAAATAAAAATCTTATGGTTTCTGAGTTAACAAATCAAATCAATAATGACTTTCATTTCTTTCACATACAATAACCAAGGACAACCTACCTGCACGATTTGATTGGTCAATCATGGGCTGAACAATTCTTCGTCTTGCATTGATAAACCTGAAAGAAAACAAAATTAATTAAATTCCTCATAAAAGATTTGTTATTCATTTATCATACATCGGAACACTTTCTATAAATATTCCACATCTCCTTTTCTTTCTAAAATTAGGGTTTGTGAAAGCTATCTAACATGGTCCAGTGTGAAACTGGTGTAGATTTTTAACGATGTATTTTTGTTTTTGGCATGATACTAATGCGTTTCTTTGTAAGCGTTTTTTCAGGGAAATTTTTTTGTAAGTTTTGATGATGTAGTTTATTGAGCTGATGAGACCTCAGAAGAATGGTGACTTGGTGTGGACAAACTGTCAAGATTGGAGATCCCAGATGATTAATTGGTGATGAGCTGGAAAGGTGCCAACACACCAGTTTTCTTGGAGCCTTCATAATTTGCCATGGTTTCCACTTGAACAGACTAGTGCTCATTAGTGGCAAAATTTCCAACCTTTCCATTTCCCCATCAAACTCCAGCAAATTGCAATCCTATCCGACTAGAGAGTTCCAAAGAGCAGATCATCACTACCCGAACCCCCTTACCAGATTCAAATTAAAGATGTAGTTTTAAAAAATGATAAATGATGCTAGACAACTTTACATGATCTGAAGGATTCAGCGTTAGACGGTTCTACCCCAAATTACATCTTTTCTCTCGTTAGCGACCATTCCCAGATTGGGTTACAAGTTGATGACGCTTTCTGCTTCCGTACTTCATTTAATAAGTAAGCAAGCTGGCACACTCGGCAGCTGTATGGAGGACGCCTTATTGAATGAAAGCGTAAGAAAAACAGCGTAATGTGGCCAATAACAGTCCTGTACACTGTCCTACCAGAATCCAAGCCTCACTTTGAACCTCCGACCTGACCACTAGTTTGACAGAAAATTCATCTCAGCTGTCCACAAAACTCTCACTTAATCAACATTACTATCTTCCTGGCTAGTATGGAAGCTAAGGGACAGGAGAAAGGTGGGGTGGGAAAGGGTAAGGTTAAAATGGGGAGAAAGGTGGGGTGGGGAAGGGTAAGGTTAAAATGGGGAGAAAGGTGGGGTGGGGAAGGGTAAGGTTAAAATGGGAAGAAAGGTGGGGTGGGAAAGGGTAAGGTTAAAATGGGGAGAAAGGTTGGATGGAGGATGGGTAAGGATGGGGTTAAAAAGGGGAAAACAGTTGGGTGGAGGGTGGGGTAAAAAGGGGAGAAAGGTGGGATGAAGGGTGGCTGAAAAAGGGGGCAATAGTTAGGTGGAGGGGTAAGGCAGTGATGGACGGAGGGGCGATGCAGGAATAGGGTTAAAATGGAAGGTAAGAAGATAATATAGATGGGAAAGGGAGGGAGGGGAAAAAGAATAGGGCAGCAGAAGGGCCATTGTATGGTGATAATGAAATGGGCTAAAAGGGATGAAAGAAGTGGGGTTAACAGGATAAGGGAAAAGGTCATGTGACAGGAGGTCAGGTGGAATACAACCCTTAGAAAAGTAAAGGTGAGTCTGACAGGAGAAAGACCTAAGACAGACAGAAACAGATGAAGAAGGAAAAATGGTTATAAAGTTCTCTTCCTTCTGGCATTCTTGTCAAGGGCTTCCCTCCAGCTATCACTCCCACACAGGAAGGTAGTTAGCATCACTCATTGGTGTTGCCCCATCTTGCAAACCTAACATGCTCAATCACGCTTTAAGTCTTTTCCGTGAATTACTTTGAAAAGATAATACATATGTTCTTATAAACACGACGTTGTATTTCCCTAAATAGTTGTATCAAAGATCAAAGCCAACGCAGTGAAGTGTCTTAAATTACTCAAATTGCAGGAAAGCAATGTTGCCTGCTTTGAAGGTTGGGGAGTTTGGGCTTAATTTAATTACATCAGAGATGGCAGGCGTGATGTAGGTTTATGTGTGACTACGCAGCATGAATACACTTAGCTGAGCCCTATAGAACCCCCCCATCAAAGTCCCAGGCAGATTTATAGCCACCCCTCTTCAAATCATGCAGATTTTATATAAATCTGAAAAATTAATCAGGATAATTTCAGACTTGCCATGGGTATATGAGGGACAATGCAATTGAAATCGAAAGTAAAACTTGAATAAACTGTAACGATTTCCACCTGGGGAGGAACTTGGTTGGGGGTAAATGTAAATGCTACATACTTATCACAGAGTAATTGTGTTTACCATCATACACACCAATCATAAATACCTACATCTAAAATCAATTTGAAAAATGACGGCCTAATTATCAGCTGAGGATATTAAGAAGATATCAAAACAGGGAGATGGATATTGCCTGCCAATGGGGCTACCTAACAAGTGTCAAAACTCTCCGTATGTCTGCTAATGCATTCTGTCAAGATCGGGGCCTCAACGGTGGCGGGCTTCTCATATATACTTAGTAATGACAGAACTATCGCACTTCAAAAATGACTTCATCAAAAAATGTCCGACAAATCGGTGGTCTGCCTAGTGACAGCCATAGATGTGGAACTCTTCTGTTAATGGAGGCTTAATTAATGCTGTGTTACTGGTGAAGCCTTAAGACGGTGGCTGGTGACGGATATCCAACAGATGAGGGGAAAGATTCTTTCTCCTGGGATACGTCCATGTCACTGTAATGTGCGATAATTCTTAGGTTTTGTTTTAATGACTGGAACAGACAGGCATTATCCTTAAATGTATGAATAATTTAAGATTTCTCAGTGAGGAAATGTGTTGGTGGACCGTCCTTGCGTGGCTGATCTAATCGCTGATGTATCAACTAATACCGTATCTGGTAAATCCTTATAATCTTGGTCACAAACCGACCGTTGAACCTACGCCAAGATCCAAGATGGAGGATATTTCACAAAGCAGTATTTGTAGTAATATCCTTTATTACTCTGGATAATAAGTCTGTAAAACAACACACGCTTCATTTTGACCGTTTTTCTTATATCTGGGAGAAAACAGAGGAGTTGTATGGGTGAATGATCCCTAACATGAGCTCCTATTCCGGTGACCTTTCCTGTCAGTGCGCACTAAGAGCTTGTTAAGCCCACTTTATTAATGGTCAATCCAACTGACCAGATCAGATGACCATTATGGCCATGTATCTTCATAATGTTTAATGCTTGCCAGGAAAACATTTCCTTCACCATAAAGTAGAATTAACACCCACTAATCAATGAAAATTTTGACAGGAGAAAATTCCTCTGAAGGGTGATTTTTTGTTTTCATCTCCAATTTGATAAACATTCTGTATTTCTGTAATCAAGCTTTGTTATAATAAAGAGGGAAAAACATCTATCTATGATGTAGCAATATTTGTCGGAAATGTGAATATGTTGAGTATATATAAAACCACAAGGTTGACACTTAAAATTCCATTTCTTCTCCGATCAAAGCACAGTAATACGTCAAATTAAAAACATAAAATTCAAATTGCGCTGAGCGTATGTGATGTAAATGGGAATACGTGTAAGTGAGCTCTGCCTTGCCGATGATAAACAGCTGCCGTGGAAACGTATATTGCTAGTTTCTCCTCTTTTTACTCAGGGGCAGCTAAATGCCCAATTTATAGAGATCTTGGCACCACATATGTACAGAGAGTTTATAACTATCATAATGAGATGTCTGATACATTTTCTTCTCTTTGCTCCAGTTTCCTTACACACAGACACAATTCATTACAGTTTCTAGCACAACTTGACTACTTTAAATCTTCAGTTTACCACAAAGAGCAGACATTGGTTTTTTAATCCGTTTACATGTCTGCAGTGTGAACAACAATACTAAATAAACACCCTTTTCCCCTCACCATCCCTAAATACCTTTTTGCCTATATTTTCTCCCATGTTAACTTGATTGTAAGGTAGATTAGGCCAAATCCCCTTTTGATAAAGACAATGTCAAGTTTGATCAACTTTCCTTAACTGTTCTGATATTCACTGAGCTGAAAGTCATTAGCCTAAGCCAGATAAAGCAATCTAGATATAAAATGTTAAGATTTTGTCAAATCTTTTGATGAATGTGTATCAGAGTATTGACAACGTTGAGATAAAGATTTTGGTCCTGAACTGTAAAAATATGTAATACAAATTTGCTGGTCTCATAATGCTTACAACATGGCATTTATAAAAAGCATGGAGTCAGTCACCTTTAAACACAATGTAAAACTTTTTCTGAACTTTTGTTCAGAAAACTAATCTAAAAGTGTGGATTTACTAATTTATAAAGATAGATTTTTCAAGATATGTGTATATCCTGAGTCCTGACTACTAAAATCTGTCTCAGTGTGATGAGTGGGTAGAATGTTATAGACTGGTGTTGCTTTTTGTCCGGGTATAATCAGGGCAGTGTGTGTATGAGTGGGGTATAGGTAATGTGACCCACACGTCATTTCCACAATCGAGGGTAAGTATGATGGCCGGGTGTCAGGTGACAGCAGACAACTATTCTACTATGGGTGGCAGCCATTTGCTTCCGCTACGTTAACTACAGTGCCCTAGAGGTCGTTTTCCTTGACCTCTGTTGTTGTCTTTCCTTCAAATCCACACAAAAAATAGTGCCGACTGCTGCAGATAAGACAGGCATGTCTTCCACCTGATTGGAGAAGTCGTGACCAGGTCTTCTAGCGAAACACCTGACCTGTACGCTATTGAATCCACACTTATGTTGAATATGTGTAATGAGCAAGCTCTGGACTATTTGTCACCCTGTCACCGTGAGGCCATGCATGGAGGACATTTCTCTCAGAGAACAACAACGTGTCATGGTGAAAGATCTATTGCACAACTTAATCAAGAATTCAAAATGTCTTTCCTTGGCTGATATTATCGCCCTAATTACGTAAATTACAAAATGATATCACACCTTTGTTTTTGGTAAGTTATTGATAATAGTTTTTGAACAGGATAGAGGGAGCGACAAGTCGACATTGACAAGGTGTTTTGTTGACACAGAGATGATGGCGGGTGACAGTTATTGGTGTGATTTGTGATGCTTGCCTCGATAACTATCACCTGCATCCTCTAAGC